CAAATGACATTACGAATAGTTATCTTGACCGTCTACTGACGGTTAAAATATTTATAGGAACACCACAGACACCATAGATCTCCATACAATTCGCTTACCAACATCCGTTAGTTGCAAACCGTCAGTAAGTTGCACGACGAGACGTTTGTTATAGGAACGGTTTTAGCTTACGAGTCGTATATAAAACTACTATTCGTAACTAAAACAGATCGTTTCTCAAGCATTAAACTATAAAAGGTTCATCAATGCCAAACAAAGTGTTAAGAATTATAACGTATCAGTCTGTCGGTCAGTCCTCTAATTGGTAGTTCAAAAGTGAAGATTCCTTTGGAGGTGAACGAGTAAGAAACTCCATGATTACTCTTTTTCAATCGGTTATACAATTTATTTATATCATGTGAGTGAGTTAACCAGTAGGACACCTTATCTACCCCTCCCCCTTTTCATTCTCAATCTCCAAATTCTCTATCCTTTAATCCCTTACAAACCATACAAGGCCATCAACGCACATTTTGCAATTTCTATAGGCAATGTCGATTGCTTACTAACATTATCGCTAGCTTGCCTAAAATAAATATTATCACAATTAAATTATCAAAGGACACCATAAGCAAACACTCCTGCTTCATATATACGTTTGTTTTATTCTGTGGTCGCATATTTTCCTCGATGTTAATCTACGGTCATCCATTTTGCTCTAAATTATTGTTCGCACTCGTAGTCTGATAGCCATCAGTGCCTGATAATCAATCAATGGGCATTAGTCGACATATTGTCTATTATGTTGCCTAACGAATATTTGGATAATCTTTTGTTTAGCCAATAAACAACAGCTGAATGGGTATCTTTTAATGGAGCGTTGTAATTAATAGCCACTCCTTTAACGTTTAAGAAGAGACTTTTGCCTAGGAGTAAAAGTTCATATTTAAGTCTGGTGAATGATAATCAACTTAGATCCCATTACATCCCACTCATCTTTTTTAGCTTGGAATACCTTCGAATGACTTCTCTCACCTGAGAGGGGAACGTCTAAAAACCTCCCCGTAAAAACGAAAAAGATTTTTTTTAAATAAAACGTTGCCTTACACTAGGATTTTCTCCTGTGTCGTGGGGACAAACATACAATTTGACATACACATCACACCTAGACCAGGAACAACAATTTGTTGATCACACAAAGAGTTTTTCCGAGCGGGAATCGAAACAGCGACACATTGCGCGGCAGCCACCCACCGCGGCAACCGCGCATTTGATTTGAGATACCAAGATTGAAATGCGAGTACTTAAAAATATCAAGTCAAATTAACATGTTATTCATAATCAAGTCTTCCATATAGTAATCAAAAACCCGAATTTCCTAAACTTAATTAAAGGAGCATGACACAGCAAGAATAGTGTTAAATTATACCAAAATAATTACTTATTATGTTTTCGGCTTACTCACGTAATAATTTGACTCGACATATAGATACTCGACAAGTTTCAAGCCATGCTGAAACTTGTCGAGTATCTCTCGAGAGGCCCATATTCATGAGCAGCATTCCGCGACACGCGACTCGGCGACTGTCGCGCTGCTACGCGTGAGTAAGCCGAAAACATAATAATTAATTTAGAATGTCTCACGAAAGTTATAATAAAATAATTACTGTTTGCGCAAGTGTTTTCAGTGCCTACCTGTTTGTTGTAGGCATATCTAGGATAATATATATATATATATATATATATATATATATATCCACTCTCGACGATATATATATATAGGCCTATATCTATATATATATACTTAGTCGGGTCATAAGTTCTGTCACAAACTTTTGATGTAATAACTTATACGCCTTTTGACAATTATTTAAAAATTATATATGAAATGAAAGGTCATTAAATGTACAATATAATTTTATTTACATTATTCGAAATGCCCTCCCCCATTTTGAACACATGCCCTTAATCTACGCGGCCAGTCATCGATCGCTGCACGCACCACATTCATATCTATGTCTGCCGCTGCTTTAACCAGAGATGCTCGGAGAGACTCCAAATTCGGGTGAGGTTTAGCACAGACTTTTTCCTCCAAATATTGCCATATCTTGTAGTCCAGTGGGTTTAAATCTGGACTAGAAGAGGGCCAGTCTTCATGCCGGATGAAGTCAATTCCACGAGCGATCAACCAGTCTTGCGTACTTCGTGCCTTATGAGCCGGTGCAGAGTCCTGTTGGAATATCCAATGCCTGTTCCTGAACATTGTCTGAGAAAGAGGTTCCACTATGTTTGTTAGGACAGTATTTTGATAAACTTCGGCACTAGTTCTCACACCTTTTTCACAGAAAAACACCTCAGTTACGCCTGAATATGAGACTCCAAGCCAAACCATGAATGAGGAAGGGTAATGCCCACGCTGGACCCTCGCAATACGCGCGCTTGCTTCTTCACTGCTGTGGGCATACACCTTATCATTTTGTTTGTTAAAACTTTCTTCAATAGTAAAAATTTTTTCATCCGAAAAAAGAATTTCGCGGTATTTTTTTCCCGCGTACCGTCGTAGCAAAGCGCGGGATCTGTCTAGCCTAATTTTTTTTAAACGCTCGTTCAAAAAATGTCCTGTCTTTTTACGATAAGCTCGTAGTCCCAGGTCTTCATTTAGTACTCTTTTAACAGTGGTTCTGCTTAGCCCCATCTGCAGAGCTAGGATTTTTTGTTTACGTACGGGATTTCGTTCGATTCGCGCCTTCACTGCTTTGATGACCTTATGTGTCCGAACTGTGCGAGGTCGGCCGCTTCTCTTACGATCTTCGAAGCTTGACTCTTCGGTGTATCGTTTGATAGTACGATAAACAAACCGTAACGTTATTTTCAAATTTTGAAGAATATTGAAAATGTCTTTTGGCGCGTAACCACAGCGGTGCAACGCGATAACCGCGATTCTGTCTTCTTTATTCGACCACTCCATATTTAAAAATGAATAAAAAATAATTTCTTTTTTATTTTCTACAAGCGCGAAAGTTCTATTTTTAAAATAAGTCGAAGAATTTCTGGCCAGTAATCGAAAATTAAAAATATAAGGTTTTGACAGAACTTATGACCCGACTAAGTATATATATATATATATATATAGGCCTATGTCCAGCAGTGGACGACAACAGGCTGATGATGATGATGATATCTAGGATAAACGTATAGGAAGGAACGTGCCTAGAAATCGAAACCTGAGTCTATGTGACTAGAGCATGTTATCTAACCACATGAATTTCTAATATTATAAATAATATTGTTCAAATTATTTCTATTTCGTATATGATTTTAAAAATTGTATGCTTAAATATTTTATGTTTATTAGTAAGCAGTAGTAAGCATTAGCATTATGTTATTAACAACTTAATCATAATCACGTAACTACATGTACCTATGGGAAAATGTATAGGTATTTAAAACTAATGAGGGCAATTCAAAGTGGGATTATTTTTGCGGAAAAAGAATAAAAATCGAAAGTAGAATAAAGTATGGAACCGCCATGCCATACGTAATCCGAGAAGTAAGTCATCATTCAATTATAGTCATCGATTCTTCCACTTTAATCAGAGAGTACTAATCACAAATCTGCTTGCTCAATTTGCACCACGATTTCCAACTATACGATAAGAAATTCTAGGTTTTGCGCATCCTACCACATGTTACTGGTGCCAAAAAAATCTATAAAAGTACAAATAACTTCAAAGTCACATTGGTAGTTGCCAGGTTTCGAACGCAAATTCACACATGAGAAGCGGGCGTCTTAACCTTAGACCTTCCAAGACAAACAAACACAATTACAGATATAATAACCAGTATTTGTTGTGACACGGCGACCCCTAGACACCTAAATATACTGACTAATTACATACAAGCGGCTTATAATGAAACATGAGAACTGCTGTATATATTTTTTTTATGTTTAACAATAGAATCATCGCCGTGTGATCACAGTAGAGTAAATTACATTTAGTTCTGTCTTCCTTTATTATCTTTAACTGCGCCTGTGTGTAATTAAAAACAGTTTCATAGAAACTTCTCCTCTGAATTATCAGAGAAGTTACTTTCTAATTTTTGACTTTGATATCCAACTTACATTGCTACGCGTCTTTATTGGTATTCCTTTAAATATACCTTAGAGAAGGATCATATATCCAGGCCATCAGACCTAGGTACAACAAGAGTTCATAAGTAGATCAGTCAGGGTTACTGCGAGTGCAGTAATGTAACCAAACCTCGGAGCAAGATAAGGAACGGAATGCTTTTGAGTCAGCAAGATTCTGACATTTATTCTCTGGGTGGGAGAATTCATTGATAGATTTTCTAACCAAGAATTTGATTGGTGCGGTTGATGTAAATGTTGAAGGGAAACAATAAGAATTCCCCTTGATTGCACAAATGGTGTAGTAGCTGCTAATTCGACATTAGCAAATCACACATCGTTGTGTGACCCACAAGTTGGGGATTAGATGTTATGATGACGCATCCACGCATAATTTTCACATTATTTTTATAATGCCTTTACGTATATTGATCTTAGTGGATCTGTATTTGCATACTTTTGTAATAACGGGTTTCTCAAAAAAGGACTATAATTGATGGTTACATTTGGCTTAAATTTAGAACGATCCAATTGGGCCTGGAAATCTACACCGAATAACTATAATATGTATTCTGGAATGTTCCACTTAAGCAATACTACTTTAATAGACTAAATTAGGTTATACATTTTTCTATAAGCTTTTAGATGGTATCTCGTAAAATTTAAGTTACGAAAAAACTGAACACTTTATCGTTTATATGTTACAATTTACATCACATTTGCCCTACAAGATAGCAGAGGTGACGAGACCGAGGGATTATCTAAAAGGGATTATTTCAGAATAACATTGACGAGCAGCGGCCATCGGATCACGCAACGACCCGGCACTAATCGCGCCGTCCAATCTATACCTCATTTGGCACATAAACGGCTTCACGGAAACCTTACAACGTCACTTTTTCGGTACAGCACAACGAGCACCAGAACTGCTTACTTCGACTTCCGCATCGAAGTAATTATCCGGAATGCGACCCTCGTTAATATTTCCTTCGTCCAAGAATCTTGACGATAACGGAAAACGTTATTACACTAATTGACGAAATTCACGAAATTTCCACTCATTTGTCAATTTCGTTTATTAGGACACTTGTCTTGGGCCAGTCATCGTAGAGTCATTACTCATCTACATTGTAAAATCATTTCGTATTACGGTAAAATTTTAAACGTAGCTTCTATTAATCAAAGTTAAACGTTAAATGTTCAAGTAAAATCTACTTACATATCCAATTTAATATTACATGAAACACGTTGAAGTATTTTGTGGTTGGCTCACATTCCGACACCCGCAAAGTGTGGGGTGTGGAACGCGCTAATTCGAGGCAAACACGTACCGGCTTTAATTTCTTAATAAATTCAATCGATGTTGAGTCCTTTTGGTTCGAATGACCAACTCTACTCCTAAACCGAATATAAAGAAAGAAAAATAAGAATCGTAAATGTTTTCCTAGAACAAAAACATGTTTCACAGTAAAAGACACAGAAATAGATACTATAATTAAATGTAAAACCTATTAATTATCTTTAAAAACTAAAGTACTTACTCAGTTTCGTTGTTTTCAAAAATCACGCTGCCTTGTGCCGACTCGTACTGAGCACCATTCTTGGCAGTGCCGTCTTCCGTCCAGTATGGCACCCTGACCTTGCCGCGGGCACCAGCTGTCCTCACGACCCTCAAGTCGTAAGTTCCCACCGACTCCGTCAGCTCGAAGTCCCGTTGCGGGAAAGAGAACACACCCGAATGATCATCATCCAATATCACTACTGTAGCTGTTGAAGGCGATGCAAGACAAGCCCCTCTGGGAGATGTTAAACGCACATAGAAATGCTCGTCTTCCTCAAAAACATCGTCATCAATCACTTGCACGCTGAAGGTCTTCTCTGTCTCCCCGTGTTTGAAGACCAAGGAACCTTGGGCCGCGACATAGTCTGACCCTGCTTCAGCTGTACCATCTTCGGTGGTATACTGCACTGTTACTTCCCCGTTCAAGTCTCCTCCTCTTACAACTCTAACTTCAAATGTCCCACAGTTCTCCATGACGGTGTAGTGGTCTGGATCAAATCTCACATTGGGACCTCGAGGCTCAAGTGATAAAGATCCTGACTCTCGTCTCTGTAACTCTGCTTTCACCTCGCTTAGATCACTTTGAGCTCGTTCAGATATTTTCCTCGAGAAATCTCCACCACCTGTCATTTTACGAGTGGCTGCAACTCGATAAAACGCTCTTGACTTGGGACCTCGCGCCATCAATGTTTCTAAGGCCATCCTTTCTACAGTTTCCAAGTCTTCTTCAGGGTGTTGTCTTCTTAATTCTCTTAGTACTGTCACATATTCTCTTCTTGATTTTTCTTGTTCTCTTCCTTCTTCGTCTTCAGATAAGAAATCCTCTCCTCCCGGTTTTAAAGCCATTTCAACGGAGCCGTCACCTTCGGCTTCTACAATTACTCCTCTTTCGTTCACTCGATAGCCTTTTTTCAGATATTTATACATAAGTAAACGACGGTCAGCAATGTAAGCTGTTAAAACCGTCGCTGGAAAGAAGAGAAAAGTAACAAATCCTTCCCAGACTTCCACTTCGTTGGGTGAAATGACAGCCAGTATGAGATATAACCACACATACGCGAAGATGGACCACGTAGCTGTCACAAGAAACACTCTCAGATGTTTTATCTTTCTAACTTCGCCATCTGGTATCACAACCACACAGATGGCAATGATCACAAACAAATTATATGCTGCCGACCCCACGATGGTACCGGGCCCTAAGTCACCTGCCTCAAAATTCTTCCCAGCTATTTCTATTACAGACAATAAGATCTCAGGTGCACTAGATCCTAATGCCATCAAAGTTAAATTAGCGACGGTCTCATTCCATACTCTGACGACAACAATCTGTTCGCTGCCATTTCGTCGCACGCGCACCTCTTTCTCTCTTGATGTTATAACTTCTATGGCGGCCATAAATCTATCGGAGACGATGGAAACTCCGATGAAGAGGTACATGAGGCAAAGAAAGTAGACAACACCTCGGAAGGCGATCTCATAGGTTGGCACATCCTCAAGAGGTTGCCATGCAGGGAGAACCAGTCCATCCGAACATGAGAGGACATGGTGGGGAGTAATGTTGCGCGGAGCGAGGCGCGCAGACGGCTCGGCGTGTACTACCACGCAGCAAGCCGCGATCGCGGCGAGCGCGGGCCGCATGCCGCGTATGTGGCGGCGACCGGCGCTGCACGAGGCCGGCGCCCGACTGAACGTCGCGACCAAACGACGCCCCGCCCCTCACCCTCGCCCGCTGCTTCCGCGTACTACAGCACCCGAATATACAGTAGGTCGACTTGAAATAAATGGAGACGTGATTTGCTATTCGAAGTTTATGTCAACATTCGAGTTGAGACTGTCAAAGTCTATGACTGTTTGGCGAGGGTATGTAATCCGAGACTAGGGTCATCAGTCAAAAAAGTTTTTGAATAACATTTTCGGGTGTGTACAGAGAGACATTGTTTGTAATTCTGTTTGTTCCTGCCTTACATCAGTGGGCTCTTAAGCCGCAGAGCTGTTTCTGCACGCGCACGTTCCATCACCTTAGTTGATGGAGTTTTATTGGCGTTGCGGGCCGTAACTTGGCGGTTGGGAAAAAAGCTTATTAGGGCTACGGGGGACTTATTAAAACTTAGTTTTGGGCACAGTTATGTTTCCCACAACTTTATTGAAGTTTATTAGAGGCAAAGTTAAGATTATAACCTTGGATGTGTGAGATTTGTGTAAGAATCTGAAGCAAATACTGCCACTTATTTAAAGCAACAAAACATTAAACAAAAAAAAACTTTTCTAAAATAGTGATGTTTTTTGTCAAACACTTATATCTAATATCGGAGGATAGGCATTTATCGACTCTTTCAATTAATTTTGTTCTATGTTATAGGTCGGCAAACGAGCCTGACGGATTGCCTGATAGTACCTAAGCAATTAGCGCCGCCCATGGACACCCGCAAGAACAGAGGAGTTACAAGCGCGTTGCCAACTTTTTGGAGATTAGGGATTGAAGGATTGGGCCACCGGTAACCTTATTCACGCGAAACACAAAACTGTGGTTGTATCACGCCGGTTTTCTGTGAGGCCGTGGTATTACTCCGGTCGAGCTGAAGCATGGCTCTCCCACACTTAAAAATCTTCGTAAATGAACAATAATTTACAAGTACACATCGCAACACAATGTTCTAATAAAAAAACTGTAATATAATTTCCCTTGTAGACAGTGGGTACTGTGTTGACGTCACTCTAATAGCATTAGTGTCCCGGATTCTTTAGAACATTAATAATAATAAAAACACTAGAACTTATTGACGTTTCGTTTCTAATGTTATTTTTCAAGGCACCTACGAAAACTAATGTTGTTACGTACTTGTTGTTAGAATTAATTCATCAGCATTTCAATGGGTCTCTTTCGAGCACGCAAGTCTTCGATCGCCTCGGCTTGTGATTCTACCAAGCGTAAAGGCTTAGTGACTACAAAGAAAATAAATTTTCTTTGTCAATTCAGGGCAAACGAATCTTACTTATATTATAAATGAGAAAGTTACGTTGTTTGGATGTTTGGATGTTTGGATGTTTGGATTTAGATGAAGTTTGGCACAGGCGTAGGGTATACAGTCTGGAAGGCAAGGCTACTTTTTATCAACATACGACGCGAGCGAAGCCGCGGGCGAAAACTAGTGTAACAAATTGCATGTCTTTTATTGTAATTGTAGGTAAATACTTATATAAAAAAACATATAAAAGTCGACTGTTAAACAATGCCTAAGACTTTAAGTTCGCCCGTAGATGTGAGTATACAGTTTTAATAAATCTAATATATCTAAACTAATATTACAAATAAATTTTGTATGTTTGTATGTAGGGGTGATCTTTGGAACCGCTGGTCGGATTTCCCAAAATTCTTTCACTAATAGATAGCTATAATATCCCTGAGTGGCATAGGCTATAAAACATCATGCTATGATCTGTAGGAGCCGAGCAGCGGGTAAAACCGCGCGAGAGTAGCTAGTAAAATAAATAAATAAACATATAGGTAAACAACAGTAAAAATCTGATATAAAATTACTTCTTCAAACAACATTAAAAAAAATCAGGTGCACTCCTTTCTAAAAGACAACGGCAACGTAATTGTGACTTCTTTGGTGTTGCGGGTATTCATGGATGGTGCTGATCACTTACCAGCAAGTGATTTGTATAGGCATAATATATGCCTGCTAATACATAAAAAATTACGAATGAAAGTATTGTGTGACAAATATTTCCTATATAATTACATATATATACTTACATATGTATGTGTGCATTATACATAATTAGCACCGGCCTCTTTACTTCAGTAAACGTTTCACCAAACACCGGCCTTCAATGAGACTTACGGTATGTAATCTAGATTATGATGTCATAGGATAATCCAAATAATACATTTCATAATGTAAGACTAATACTGGCTATTAAAGATATCTAGCATTTTTTTTTCGATTTGGCATTTTTTGCAATTGTAGATACACTACACTTGCAGGTCCTAGCTTGGACTAGTAGAAGGGACGGGGTGGTTTTTAGTCAGTAAGAATCTGGCACTCTCTCGGCCAGGGCGGGAGAAAACAATTGATTTTCACCGTTCGAAAAGAAATGCTATTAAATAATGATTTTCATTTATTTTCATTTGTGGATGTTTAGGCAATTACAGACTCCGAGCCTTTAAGATGCTGCATGAGGAGCCCGCTTCTCAACCTGGCAAATACCAATGTGACTTTTTTCCAGGTCATACGTACTTTTATACACCACTGACATACGGTGAAGGTAAACATCGTGAGGAAACCCGGACTTATGATTTCTAATTATAAGTTTGAAATCGCCAACCCTCGTTAACCAAGCGTGGTTATTAATGCTCAAACCTTCTCCGTGTGAGAAGAGGCCTTTGCTTAGCAGTGGGCTCTTATGGGCTGATGATGAGCCTTTAAGATAAATTATCCAAAAAGAAAACAAAAAAATAATAATCTTATATTTTATCTATATATTTCTCCATGCCTGATTTTTTCCTGTGTCATGAAGGCGTTTACAAACATATTTTCACGTGCAGACTACACCGAGACCTGCTATACATAGAGAATAGGGCCTCAGACTACTTATTTACCAGTCTTGCATATTAATACGATAAAAAATACAAATTTATTTAAAATTTCAAATATTACCTGACCCTACCCGTTTAAAGGTTGGGAGATATATCATAGTGGGGAAAAATGGTCAAATGCCTTCCCCTACCCTGGAGAGAGAGTGTCAGGCTTTTAATAACATTCCGCGCGCGCCTCAAAGAGCCAATAGACCACCACAGACGGCGCCCTATAGGGCTGATGTTCAGCCAAGGTAGCGGGGTAAGCGCAATGTCACCGCGACCCTAGGCCCAGAGCAGGAGATGTGACGGGGGTTTTTAGTCAGAAAGAGTCTGACTCTCTCTCTCGCCTTACCCTGGCCGGCAGAAGTAATTTGATGATTTTTCCCCTGACTAAATAAAGGCATTTAATGATGAGGCCTTACATCGCAACCCCGGAGCTATTTCATACCTACAAATATCATTATCAACAAAATACAACTGGAATTTATTATAAACACTTTAAAAATAAAAAGACGTTTCCGCACAACGATTTTATCTTCGCACGCGTCTTGGCTCTTGCAAATTAATAACGGGCCGTTTATTTGCAGTTATAGGCACTTATACCATTAAAAGTTTCTGTCGAAACAGTCTCGTGTCGTGCACAGTTCGCGTGTCCCACACAATGTACTTAATCGTCTTGTATTGGACACAGCTACTTTATCGCTTGGACAATGGACGGTATTAAGAATTTTTGTCGTCGCTTGCAATTCCGATTGCCATAATAATACTTTGAAGTAGAGTGGTTTATTTTAGTATCGCATCATCAGCCTATAAGTGCACACTACGGAACAAAGGCCTCTTTTAACACGGAGAAGGTTTTGAGCATTAATCACAACGCTTGTTCAAATCGGCTTGCAATTTTAAATTTACTGTGGTGTGTGAATATATCGCTGAAAAAGCCACACCGGTACTAACGATATTTTTAGAACGTTGCTATCCCCCTCTCTCCTCTTGGTCTTGCTGTAATGGAAATTAAATTAAATTTTATTATTCATCAGTCAAGACCAGGTCATGTCAAATCCCTTATAGTAAAATTCACAATAATTGTACAGTTTTTTTTTAAATATGATCGAAATTTCATAATCTCAAGTCTATAATATAGGTAGACAGGTCTTTGAAAACTAAAGACCAGTTGTAAACTTTAACTACTACAATCAAAAACCAAAGAAGAATAATCCCTAGCACAAAGAAATAAAGTCCTTTACACTCAAACCTACGAACTAGGAACAAAATTTTTCGCATCGATCCAGATCGAACAATTTCTCATTGAGCCACTTAATTGGGTTCATGCCCCGGACAGTATCGTATGAATCATGTCGAACCACATTCTGCCCCAGTAAGCATTAATGATATTCCGTTAATTTGGAGAACAGTTACTAATTAATGGCAATTAATTGATCATTGGTGTGTTTATTTGTGAGTAGTGAGGTCTTTGAGAAGTCCTACCAAATTGATACCCAAGTAATTCTAAACACTATTCTGATATCTGATACTAGATACTGAGAATTTAGTTATTTAATGAGAGCTGGAGGACACGCGTTATAATGTATCGTGGCTCCGGCCTAGCAACAGAAAGAAAGGGATGGTTTTTAGCCAGTAAGAGGCACGCAGGGGACACTCCATCATGCCCTACCCGTGGGCAAAACCATTTAATGATATTCGACCCTCAAAGAGGGGAGCATATAACAATATAAGTGTGGGAGAGCCATGCTTCGGCACGAATGGGTCGGCTCGACCGGTGTGATACCACGGCGTCACAGAAAACCGGCGTGAAACAACACAGTGTTGTGTTTCGCCGTGTGAGTGAGGTTACCGGAGGCCCAATCCTTCCCCTTCCCAATCCCTCCCCATTTCCTAGATCTCCAAATCCCTAATCCCTAAAAGATTGGCAACGCACTCGTAACTCCTCCGTTACGGGTGTCCATGGGCGGTGCTAATTGCTTACCATCAGGTAATCCGTCTGCTCGCTTGCCGACCTACTACATAAAAAAAATCATAGATTTGTTTAAGAATGTATGCTATGTGGTGTATCGTGACCTCTGGTGATCTCCTCTACCCAATTTTGAGAATTAAGCGAGCTTCCGATTATTTCATTAATGGGGGCCCAGAGGTCAAGGCAGTACTACTCA